ACTTTTTTGGGATTTTTGTCTTCCGATTTCAGCTATGGAGGCTTTTAATTTTGATTGTATGTGAAATGGTTGTATTAGAGGTTTTAAGCTTTAATAAATTTGTTCTTCATAAAAAATAAAATAATAAAATAAAATAAAACTTTTCACCTCAAATACATATGGCTTAAATTTTTAGTTTGAGACTATTAAAAATAATTTTGGCTTTTTTTTTTTCAGTAACTTTTTTGAAGATAAATTTATGTAGATTATCCTAATTTATTTTTACGAACATTTAAATCTAAATATTTGAATTTCGATAATTAATTAAAAATCATACAAATACATGGGTATTATAAAGTTTTAAGTTAATTTTGATTTAAATAATTTTCTTAATTATTTTAGACATTAGATTTAATTTTGGGTCGTCAAATCTTTTTTTTTTTTTTTACCATTATATTTGATCTCATTTGATCACAGCCGTTATGTCACATCCCGGCCCGGGGCGGATCACTTCCCGGGCCCGCTCCACCACCGTAGCATGATATTGTCCGCTTTGGGCTTATCATTCCCTCACGGTTTTGTTTTTGGGAACTCACGAGCAACTTCCTAGTGGGTCACCCATCATGGGATTGCTCTAGCCCCCTTCTCGCTTAACTTCAGAGTTCCTACGGAACCCGAAGCCAGTGAGCTCCCAAAAGGCCTCGTGCTAGGTAGGGATGGGAATATACATATAAGGATCACTCCCCTGGGCGGTGTGGGATGTTACATGTTAGATTAGATGTAAACAATTGAAAAAAAGTTTAAAATATGACAGTTTGGTGGGTCCAAATAATTTAAGCCAGCCTTTAATCCTGGAGGGAATCTAGCCCATATATATATATATATATACATATATATATATATATTTTTTTTTTTTTCTCCCCATAGCTTATTTTAGCCCAATGATTGGAGATGGTTTCAGGGGGTTTTAAAGCTTATATTTTAAGCTTTATCTCATGGGTTGGACATGGTCTAACTGTCAAACAGTTTTTTTTTTTTTTTTCTAATGCCGGTATAATTCCTACCAAAAAAAATGTATATATTTTGGAAAAATTTATATTTCTCACATATGGAGTGTGTGACCTTTGCTAGTAACATTTAAAGAAAACAAAATGATGTACTCAATTAGAATTTTAAAGCATCTTAAAAGAGTTTACAAAAGATTTTAAATGAATACAAACAAATCTATTTATTTAATATTTTAAAAGGTAAAGTTCTATAGAAATTGAGTGTATTCATTTTGTATTTTAAAGTAGTTCATAAAACACTGTATTTATTCAATTAGAAGTTGATTTTAAATTATTTCAAGAGATGAAGAATTTTAATGGATTTGGAGGGATTTTAATTTAATAGTTTTTTCTTTAATGTTTAGGAAATTAGGTCTCCTTGAAAGATTTTTAATGATTTCACCAAAAATTTACATAGCATGTAGGAAACTCCATAGATTTATAACTTTTTCAAAATTCTTTAAACTCCTAGTTCAATACACCATCGTAATATAGAATTTGTCATCTATAATAGTTGAACCTAAATGTTCCTGGAATAAAAATATCAATAGACGATAGTACTACGTGGCAAAATAGAGAATTGCTTTTCACTATTGATACTAGATGGAGCCCATGCACTGTGTGTGTAGTATAAAAAAGGGTTAATCTCAGTTTACTACCTTGAAGTTTCGTGGGTTTCAACATTTGGTACATAAAGTTTTTTTCATCCCAGAGTCATACCTTAAGTCTTAATTTTGAGACAGTTTCATACATTCGTTAAGTTATCCGTTAGATCTTCTGTTAACTGATGACGTGTCATCCACGTGGACAATAATTGAGTGTCACGTGTCAATATGGGGCCATTTCAATATTAAAAAAAAAATTTAAAAAAAAACCCACCCATCTTCTACCTCCCTCCGACCATCTCCCTTCATTCTTCCTTCTGCAACCTGCACCCCTTCCCTCTCTTCTCTCTTTTGCACCTGCAACACCCTCTAGTCTCTCCTCTGTAACCTGCACCACCCTTATCTTCCTCATCCTTATCCTGCACCCCAACCCAAACCCAGACCGAAACCTCAACCCTCATTTTCTTTATCCTGCACCCCAGCAACAACACCACCATCAGCCGTCGCTCGGTACTTTATCCCTTAGTCCATGGCCCAACAACACCCACCACACCCTCACTCATTTCGAGCTCTGCACGTCACCGATTCCTCACCTGCTTTTCTCGACAAACTTGTCGGATTACTCGACTTCGCGGTCGTCCCGATCTACTTACTGGCTGGTTAACCCAGTTCATCTAGCTCCAAGATATTACTCGTATTGGCATCTCTGATTCTGTGTTCCTCGGGTTTCAGATATGTCATCTTCGATTTGTCAAACGACCGGCCGTCGCACACGGAGACTTCAATGAAAATATCTTTCTTTTCTGACAAGACCTCATCTAGTTTGATCTCTTCCTCTCTGGTCTTCTCTTGATCTGGTTTTTGAGCAGGTACTTTGGTATCTCAGACTGTTCTCGCACTTGTTTTGACATCTTAACCTTCGATTACAGAGATATACACAATTAATATTAATCACGTAGAAAAAATTATTAATTCTAATGGGGTGCATGATAAGGATGATGATGGTGGGGGTTTGGGTCTAGGTTAGGTTGCAGGAGAAGGATGAGGAAGATGAGGGTAGAGGTTAGGAGAGGAATAGCAGAGTTGGTGGTGGTTATAGAGATAAAATAGGGAGAGCAAATGAGGAGTCGAAAAGAGAAGAGGAGAGAATGGAGGGTGGTGCGGGTTACAGATGAGAGAATGAAGGGTGTTGCATGTGTAAAAGAGAGAAGGGAGGGAAGAGGTGCGGGTTGCAGAGGGAAGAAGGAAATGAAGGGGTTGGGGAGAGGTAGAAGACAGATGGGTTTTTTTATTTTTTATTTTTTTTGTTTGTGTTTTTGTATTTTTTTAGGGTAAATCTTTGTTTACTACCCTCATGTTTCGTGGTTTTCAACATTTAGTACATAAAGTTTTTTTCGTCCCAGAGTCAAACCTAAAGTGTTAATTTTGGAACAGTCTCATACATCTGTTAGTCAAAATGTTAAGTCTACCGTTAACTGATGACATGGCGCATATGTGGACAATGACTGGACGTCATGTGTCATTAAGGGGTCCACATGGTTTTTTTTTTTTTTTTTTTTTAGACGGGGTTCAAAACAAAAATCCAAAAAAAAAAAAAAAAAAACCCCCAGTCTTCCCCTAACCCCCCCCCGCACCCTCTCTCTTCCTCATCCCCCCACACCCTCTCCCTCCCTTCTCTCTTCTGCAACCCGCACCCCTTCCCTCCCTTATATCTTCTACAACCTGCACTACCCTCCCTTATCTCTTCCTTCTTCCTTTATCCCTCCATGCTATCCTCTACACCAACCCACCAAACCCTCATCTCCTCTGCACCACCCTCCTTTCTCTCCACCAAATCAAAACCCTAATTTAAAACCAAAAAAAAAATCCTTAACATTTGCAACTACCAAGCAAACAAAAATGCACAATTTGAAGCAAGATTCATAATTGACACCAAATTTTACCCTAAGTCACAAAAACTTACATTTAAAAATTAAAGAGACTAAGAATCAAACGAATTAATACTTGCAACGAGCTTTAACGGCGAAATTGACCAGCAGAGCACAGAGGTGCGAGAACTCGACGGTTCAGTAAAGAGAGAAGAGAGAGATTGCGTGTGGGTGGAAGATGAGAAACCCTAAAAGGCTATAGACAAAGCTAAAGGACGAAGTGGTTAATAATTTCGAAGGTATTTTACATGAAAATTATAATCTAGATGTGTGCGTAGGAGAGGTCGCCATAGGGATGAAGAAGACGATGGTGGCGTGGATAGAGGTGCGCCGTCTGATTTCGTGAGGAGGAAGATGAGAAGGGTCGAAATGACGAAAAGGGGCATCAAAGCGGGAAAGAGGAAAAATAGGGCATATGCTTGTGGCAACGCAGAGGTAGAGAAGAAAGCAACAACAAAGAACAGATAAGGGTTTGGTGGGTTGGTGCAGAGGAGAGAATGGAGGGATAAGGGAGGAATGAGGAGAGAATGGAGGGTGGTGCATGTTGTAGAAGAGAGAAAGGAGGGAAGAGGTGTGGGTTGCAGAAGAGAGAAGGGAGGGAGAAGGTGCGAGGGGATGAAGGAGAGAGAGGGTGTTGGGGGGGGGTGTTAAGGGAGGTAGAAGACAGGTTTTTTTTTTTTTTTGAGAACCCCCTTCTCAAAAAAAAAAAAAAAAAAAACCACATGCAACCCTTAATGACACATGACACCCAGCTAGTGTCCATATATACGTCACGTCATCAGTTAACGGCAGACTTAACCAGTTTGACTAACGTATGTATCAGACTGTCCCAAAATTAACACTTTAGGTATGACTTGTGGGACGAAAAAAACTTGATGTACTAAATGTTGAAAATCACGAAACATGAGGATAGTAAACAGAGATTTACCCGAATTTTTTAATATTGAAGTGGGTCCATATTGACACGTGACGCTCAGTTATTATCCACGTGGGTACCACGTCATCAGTTAACAAAAGTTCTAACGGAAAACTTAACGGATGTATGAAACTGTCTCAAAATTAAGACTTGAGGTATGACTCTAGGATAAAAAAACTTCATGTACCAAATGTTGAAAACCACGAAATTTCAAGGTAGTAAACTGAGATTAACCCTATAAATTAAAAAAAAAAAAAGTATAAAAAGAAAGAGAGAAGTTAGAGAAAAATGTGAGAGAGAAGGCAAAAGAGAAAAAACGTTGGGATTTTTATTTTTTAAAATTAGGGACATGCTTTGTTTACATGTAAGTGAAGAAATAAAAGAAATAGTAAAATTATCTTAATTCTTATATTTTTCTTTAATATTTTAATAAATTAGAGAAAAAAATTATTATTTCACTATTTTTTAGGTGAGAAAAAAGTTTATATGGTCAAATTTTTTCTTACGAAATGCTATAAAAACCGATATCGGCAATTTTGACCCCAAAGGCAAAGGAGCCAGGGCAGAAAGGCCCAACGATAAATACAAGCCAGGGCGTGCAGTCTTGGCGATTTTAGACCGCCTCAGAATAGCAACCAAAACCAAACATCCTCCCTAGAAAGCCCAGAAATCTCCGACACCCCGCATACCCCTCCCACAGCCGATCGCCATGTCAGGAGGACCCATCACGCAGGACTGGGAGCCCGTCGTCATCAGGAAGAAGGCACCCAACGCCGCCGCCAAAAAGGATGAGAAAGCCGTCAACGCCGCTCGCCGCTCCGGAGCTGAGATCGAAACCCTCAAGAAAGGTTTTGTGTCGTCCTTCGTTCTTTCTCGCTTTCCCCTTCTCTGTCTCTTTTATTCTTTGGCTTTCAATATTTTTTGTTATTGATTAAGCGGAAAACAAAATGGAACCCACGAAATGATTTCAAAAATCTCATAGGGGTTAAAATTAGAGAAAATCAAATTTTAGAATTTGCAAGTAGAATGCTAAATGCTTTACTCGTAATTTTTGGGTTCGATTTTTGCACTCGTTAAAGTTGTAATTTGCTGTTTTTGATTGGAAAAGCATAGAAAACAAGGTAGCAAATTTTTGCCATTTGGGTAGCTGCTGATTCGTTGTTCTGGCTCGATTGTCTGGTTTGATTTGTATTACCTTGTAGCTAATGGGGGTTTTTCCCATTTGTTTGTGCGAATGATTCGCGCCATGTGCTTTGGTTTTCGTAATCATTTTCGGGCTCGATAATCTTAATGTTCTTCCATTTGTAATGGCATTTTTGTTGTCGATTTGTTCAGTATTGTGGACTTTTAGTTTCTTTCCAGCTTGGTGTGCCATAATATTGGGTATAAAAGTTAGTTTATTGTGTGCGTTTGCATGCTGCATATTATAACCTTCGAAGTTGCAACTCTAAATAGTTGCGTTGTTAATCTTTGCAGCAACTGCTGGGACCAATAAAGCTGCCTCCAGCAGCACTACTTTGAACACGAGGAAGCTTGATGATGAAACAGAGAACCTTGCTCGTGAGTTTCTCTCTTTCTTGTACTATGTATATACAAAATTCTTGTTTTCGTTTAGGATTGATATATCTTTCTTGAATGAGCTAAATATCTCTTCTTGACATCGTTATAATTGTTTCTTAGTTTGCAACTGTTGTGAAACTGTTTGGGTTGGCTTAAGGAAGTAAATAGGTCCTTTTACATATTAGCCACTTGTTTGCTTCTGAGAGGTGAACCTTGGTGCAATTGTATGGTTTGTTCCGTTGCAAACTGAGGTCACGGGTTTGAAATGGGAAACAGCCTCTTTACAAGTGGGTTTGAGGCTGTGTACCGTTTGTACTCCGAAGATCCTGGAATTGTGGGTGCACTAGGCTGCGCCATCTGGCCTAGTGTTTCTTTTGCCAAGTTGGTTGCATGGTTCAGTTCTTCTTACGTATAATGTGTTTATGTACTGCTCCTTGAATCCTCTTTATTTCAATGTGAACTCGAAGTCTCAACTTTGGAGTTGAACGCCCTAGGGACCTTCTTCTTTATCTCGTCTTTCTTCCCAATAATATTGCTATCTTGACATGAGCATTGCATTGAGGAATGGGGATGGGAGAAAAGTTCATGGCATGGCATGGTGCCAGGATGCTTTTCAGTGGTTCATTGGACCTAATGGGCTATAGACTAATGTAGAGACTAAACCAATAAAGTTAAAGTCCCTTGCTTCACAGAACCTTTTTGCTTATTGTTGTATATGTTGCTGTGGTATTTATTTACTTTTGTTTCTCTCATATGCACTAGTGGTATTCCAAGATTCTCTTCGTTGTATGTTTGCTTTCTCTGAAGTTTCCGTTACTCTTGCCCTCACCATAGCATGTGTGGTTTAGACATACGGTATGAGTTGTTTTGGTGGCAATAGAAAAGTTTGTAGACCTTTACATGTCTCTATTTTAATTATAAATGTGTAATTATAGTTATATTACATACATGTGTGCTTGCCCTTGCATACTCTCCCCTCCACAATTCCAGCAAGCACTTGGGCTTCTCAATCTGGTTTAATATATATTCTTTGAATCTACGTTCCGAATCTTTTCCAGCTGGAATATATTGAAGGAATCCAGAAAAGTTATTTATTTGTTGTTTGCCTCGATGTTTTTTGCTTGTCTACTTTGGTTTCATGCTTTAATGTCATCTGATTTTGAAATAGATGAACGTGTGCCAAGTGAGCTGAAGAAAGCTATCATGCAAGCTCGAACTGATAAGAAGCTTACCCAGGCTCAACTTGCTCAAGTATATCTCTCTCTCTCTCTCTCTCTCTCTCTCTCACACGCACACACATGTGTACACAATTACTGATGACAATCTCGGGGTTATTTGCAGATCATCAATGAGAAGCCTCAAGTGATCCAAGAGTATGAATCTGGGAAGGCGATTCCAAATCAGCAGGTGATTACCAAGTTGGAGAGAGCTCTTGGAGCGAAGCTGCGTGGAAAGAAGTAAGGAAGCCTGGAAAGAAAAAGAAGCTGAGCTGCGATATGAATTTAAGTTTGAACAGATCTGTCGTGCTGCGATCTGTAGTTAAAGTTTGAATTAATGCTCTGCACCTCATTATTTAGTTATCTTTCAAAGGTCGTGTGTTTGATGTAGAAAGTACCGTTGTATTTTCTAATGATATTTCTTCAAATGACGAGTTTGCAAACAGTTGCATCTATAAGTATCTACATGCTCATATCAAATGTCAACTCAATGCTTGTAGGGGAGAAGGAAGTCATGCCTTGTTATTTCAGTAGCTCTGTTTCGAAATTTTAAATGGTTAAATGCAATATCTTTGTTGGTGATGTCTTGCCCAAAATCTGATTCAGCCCCGGACAGTTTCGCTTTGTTGGTTCGAGGCAAATCGCTTGCCTAGCTCATTGAGGTCGAGTTCGCCATTGTCCTTTCCAACCAAGCGATCACGATACACAGTAGCCTCTCCTCGCCAAAACCCTACACAATGTGGAAGGCACATGGTCAAGACTGTGATACACAATGTTTTTATTTTATTTTCCTTCTAAAAAGAGAGATAACTGGTCGCAAGTTACCGTTATCCATCCCTTTCGGGGTAGGGGAGGCTACAAAGAATTTCACACTGCCCGTCAAGCCGACTCACTAGCTCGAACCATTTAATCCGGAACCTCTCTCAATTTTTTTTGTTTGTTAGGAGACGCATCTCTTTATTTTTATTTTTTATTTATTTTTTTAACAAATGATATTTAAGGAGGTAGATTTAGCCTCACAATGGGCTAGCAATAATGTGGTAAATTCGTCTTTAGCGAGAATCGAACTTAAAATCTATTATTTATATGTGAAAAAGAATACTATTAAACTGTACTACGCAGCTCTTAATCCAATAGATATTTACACCAATGGTTTTTAGTTTTTATGAACCCTTATCTGTAGTGGAATTTTTTCAGCTCTTAAATCCAAAAGATATTTACACCAATGGTTTTTAGTTTTTATGGACCCTTATCTGTAGTGGAATTTTTTCGTGAAGACTTCACGACAAGAAAAGAGATATTAATGAATATTTTGGCTTCGATTACAAAATGCTAAAAACCGACATCGAAAATTTTGACCCACAGCCACAGGGCAAAGGCGCCCAGAGATAAATACAACCCCAACCGAGGCGTGCAGCCTAAAAGCCATTTTACACGCCTCCAGAGCAACCAGACCAACAACATCCCAAGAAAACCCAGAAATCTTCAACACCCCCCTCCCTTAGCCGATCGCCATGTCAGGAGGACCCATCTCTCAGGACTGGGAGCCCGTCGTCATCAGGAAGAAGGCGCCCAATGCCGCCGCCAAGAAAGATGAGAAAGCCGTCAACGCCGCTCGCCGCTCCGGAGCTGAGATCGAAACCCTCAAGAAAGGTTTTGTGTTGTCGTTCCTTCTTCCTCGCTTTCCCCCTCTCTGTCTCTTTTATTCTTTGGTCTTGATTTTTTCTTTGTTGTTGATTAAGCGAAAATTAAATGGAACCCTCGAAATGATTTCAATATCTATCAACAGAAATGATTTCAAAATCTCATAGGGTTTAAAATTAGAGAAAATCAAATTTTAAAAATTGAAACTTGAATGCGTTACCTTTAATTTTTGGGTTGGATTTTTGCACTCGTTGAAGTTGTAATTTGCTGTTTTTTGATGTATGCTGATTCACTGTTCCGGCTCGATTGTCTTGTTTGATTTATATTACCTTGTAGCTAATGGGTTTTTCTCGTTTGTGCGGATTGGTTTTTGTAACCATTTCTGGGCTCGGTAATCTTAATGTTCTTCCTTTTGGAATGGCGCCATTTTCGTTGTCGATGTTTATAGTTTTAGGCTTGTAGTTTCTTTCCAGCTTGGTGTGCCATAGGATTGGTTATGAAAGTTACTTTATTGTGTGGGTTGCGTATTGCATTTTATAATTTCGAAGTTGCAATTCTAATAGCTACTTTGTTAATCTTTGCAGCTACTGCTGGGACAAATAAAGCTGCCTCCAGCAGCACTACTTTGAACACGAGGAAGCTTGACGAGGAAACGGAGAACCTTGCTCGTGAGTTTCTATCTTTCTTGTACCATGCCTATACGAAATTCTTGTTTTTCATTTAGAATTGATTTATCTTTCTTGAATGAGCTTGATAATCTCTTCTTGACATCGTTATAATTGTTTCTTAGTTTGCAACTGTTCTGAAACTGTTTGCGGTGGCTTAAGGAAGTACATATATCTTTTTACACATTAGTCAGTTTTTTGCTTCTAAGAGGGTGAACCTTGGCGCAATTGTATGGTTTGCTCCATTGCAAATGAGGTCATGGGTTTGAAATAGGAAACAACCTCTTTACAAGTGTGTTGAGGCTGTAAACCGTTTGTACTCCAAAGATCCTGCAATTGTGGGAGCACTAGGATGCACCATCTGGCCTATTGTTTCTTTTGCCAAGTTAGTTGCATGGTTCATTCCTTCATATGTATAATGTGTTTATGTACTGCTCCTTGAATCCTCTTTATTTCGATGTGAAATCGGACTTTGGAGTTGAAGCCCCCAGGGTCCCTCTTCTCTATCCTTTTTTTCCCCAATAATATTGCTATCTTTTCAGTAGCGTGGCATGGCATGGTGCCAGGATGCTTTTCAGTGGTTCATTGGAGCTAACAGGCTATAGCCAAACTTAGAGTCTAAAACAATAAAGTCCTTTGCTTCACAGATCCCTTTTGCTTATTGCTGTATATGTTGCTATGATATTTTTCGACATCGGTTGTCCTTTCTAGTAGCCAACATTTAGTTCATGTGTTTATTGTTGTATGTCTTGCTGAGATTTTTTTTTTTTTTCTTTTTCTCATATGCACTAGTGGTTTTCCAAGATTCTCTTTGTTGTATGTTTGCTTTCTCTGAAGTTTTCCTTACTCATGCCCTCGCTCACCTTAACATGTGTGGGTTGGACATATGCTATGTAGTTATATTAACGCACATGTGTACTTGTCCTTGCATACTCTTCCCTCCACAATTCCAGCCAGCACTTGGGCTCCTCAATCTGATTTAATATATAGTTCTTTGAATCTATGTTCCGGTTCTTTTCCAGCTGAAATATATTGAATCAATCCTGCAAAATTATTTATTTGTTGTTTGCCTGGATATTTTTGCTCTTGTCTATTATTTGGTCTCGTGCTTTAATGTCATCTGATTTTGAAATAGATGAACGGGTGCCAAGTGAGCTGAAAAAAGCTATCATGCAAGCTCGAACTGATAAGAAGCTTACCCAGGCTCAACTTGCTCAGGTATCTCTCTCTCTCTCTCTCTCACACACACACACACACACACACACACACACACACACACGTACACAATGTACTGATGACGATCTCGGGGTTGTTTGCAGATCATCAATGAGAAGCCTCAAGTGATCCAAGAGTACGAATCTGGGAAGGCGATCCCAAATCAGCAGGTGATTACCAAGTTGGAGAGAGCTCTTGGAGCGAAGCTGCGTGGAAAAAAGTAAGGAAGCCTGGAAAGAAAAGGAAGCCGAGCGTGCGATATGAATTTAAGTTTGAACTGATCTGTTGCACTGCAATCTGTAGTTGAAGTTTGGGCTAATGCGCAGCACCTCATTTTGTAATCTTTCAAAGGTTGTGTGTCTGGTGTAGAATGTACCTTTGTGTTTTCTAAGAATAATTCCTCGAATGATGAGTTTGCGAACAATTTCAGCTAAGTTTCTACGTGTTCATACCATCACCATTGCCTTTGGTGTTGCTGTCCCTTAATCGCATAACTTTAGCCGTTAGATCAAATTTCAAGGGCTCGGATTTTATGTTTAGTTGGCTCAGGTGGAAGGGATCCGGAGAGGATCCCTTTCCTGTTTAGAACTCGTTTGATAGAGAGGATTACTATATTAAATGCATTTTTAAGGTTGATGACAATTTCTCTATTTTGCTCAAGTTGAAGATTACTCGTAAAGAAATTTTTTTTTTATTTCTCCATTTTTTGGGCATTAATAAGGATACATTTTCTTTGAGTAACTTTTAATCTGAACAAAATATAAAAATTTTCATTGATTTCTTCTTTCAAAATGCTTTCAAAGTCGTGAATGGTCGTATCTAAGTTCCTATTCAACTAGACCTTAATATCTTAATCAATCAATTCGTATATATAAAGACTGATAACCACCAGAAGCAAGCAGTCACAATTAATAATAAGCACTAGCTTAACCTCTCTTCTATGGATTAATTAAATCCATTAAATCCAAACTCAAATTGCATACGACACTGATAAACATACTTTTTTTTTTTTTTTTAATCTCTCGCATTCTTTTCTTGTATTATTTATTCAATCTAATAACCGAATTTTAAAAAAATATATGAAAAACTTAAAATAGTGTAAAAATTAGCTCGCTGTATGAAACACCATGAAAATGAGTGACATTAAACAAAATAGAGCTGCACATGACAAACATTAAACAAAAGAGACCGACACAAACAACTTAAACAAGACAAAACAACATTACAGTACTGTATATGGAACCATTGACTTGACCCTACGAAGGCGGAACCCACCACTTCTTTGTCCCGCCGCCATCAACCACCACAACCACTACCTGTCAAAACTCAGAGGCCGGTAGATCCTCATCAGACGGTAGAGACAACACCCACTCTCCGCTGCTCTTATCAAGCACCATACCTCTGTTCTTCTCCACCCACCACACCGCGGGCACATTACACTCCTCCTTGAGAAAATCACATGACTTGTTCACCAACGCCACGCTCCTCTTCACCCTCAGCTCAAACTCCGCGTCCTCACCGTTCCACCCCGCCACCACATGCAGAATCCCCTCCAGGTTATGCCAGTCGCTCGGATTCTTCGACTCCTTCAAGAACGGCGACTTCCTCGTAGTCAATCAAAAGCACCGTCCCGACCTTCCGGTACCCCATTACACGGACCGGATAGTGCGGAATTACATCGATGGTGTTCTTAATATGCAGTATCTTTAGATTCTGGTGCCTCTCAATCCGTCTTTTCAGTGCACTGTTTCCGATTTGTGGACAACCAAATACAAAAACCGCAATTGGGAGATCGGAAACCCCGTTTTCGGCCAAATCGAAAGTGCTCAAAACCGCTAAACTCGCACCGAGACTGTGTCCTGTCATGGTTATGCTCAGCTTCTCGTCCTTGTACTTGTTCCTCAGCTCGTTGATTTTTGTCACAAGTTGGACTCTGGCGCTTGTTTTCGTAAACGGGGACTTCGGGTCGTTGGAAATGTACATTGTAAGCCAACCCCTCATGACTTTCGGCACTTTTTCGTCATCTTCATCGTCATCCTTGTCATCTTGATTTTGATGACCATTCGCTAGGCTGGCATGAGAAGAACCTAAAATGATCTCCGCGGACTCTAGCTCAGCTCCCATCACATTAATCCACTCGTAGTTTCTAATCGTGCCGCGCCATGCGACATAGATTTCGCGTCGACCGATGGCTTTGCTGACTTCATCGGTGGTGACGGCGATGTAGCCGATCCAGTTAGACTCCCTATCCCACGACTCGCGGGACTTGGATTTGAGAAGCAAGGCTTCGGGGACGCTGACTTGGGCAGTGGCGTAGAGGAAGCAAGAGACTTGGTAGTTGGTGGCGTCTTGGAGCATGACCTTGTCGAAGAAGGAGTGTTTGCCATAGCGGCTGGATCCGCAGTACTTGGAGTTTTGGTCGTTGTTGAAGGCGTCGTAGGTGGCCTGGCAGAAGTTGCCGCAGCGGAGGATGAGGGTTCGGAGATTGAGGTCTAGAGGGTCCAAGAGGCCATCCCAGTTGTTTGAGCCTAGAAGCTCTGACCATGCAGCAGCTGCTGGATGATCAGCAGTTTGGTTGGTGGCCATGGACGTCGGAGGCAGAGGATGGCTTGTTGTTTTTGTATGTTTAGCATTATTGTTGCCCATCTTTTCTGTGTGGAGAGCAAGCCGATCGAGTGGTATTATATCATATATCAGCAAATGTCCGTACCTAGACAATACTACTTAGAAATTATTATTTTTACTGAGTCTAAGGTACCAACTGGTAATTAATAACTAAAGTACAAGTTGTAATATAAGTCAAAAGTCACCTCCCTCAGGAGGGCTCAATTCACCTTCGTAGACCCTTCCTACTTGTCAAGCCCATTGGGAAGAAGGTTTTGATGAACTAACTGTTGGATTGGGACAACCTTCCCGTGGCTTTTGCAAGTGGGAAGAAGACCCTTGTTAGTTAAGAAAATGACTTTAACGTCACAATTAAATATGGTTGACTGCTGCATGCCAATTCTTGAACATCCTTAAGTGAGGTGTTTTTCACCACTATATGTATCACTATTAAATGAGTTAAAATTTCAAAATCTGTGTAATGGACATACACAAATTTTAAAATTTAAACTTATCCAATAGTGAAAAATGGGATCCTGAGCGTTACACCACTTGAGGATGGTGAGCAAAGATACAATTTATTGGTTTTGATATCTCTTATCCATTATAACCTTGTAAAAGCATAGAAAACAAGTTAGCAATTTTTTTCCGTTCGGGTGGCTGTTGGTTCACTGTTCCGGTTCGATTGTCTTGTTTGATTTATATTACCTTGTAGCTAATGAAGTTAATTTAGACAAAATTTTGAAAATTAAAGAACATGAAAATTAATTATTAGTTTATTATTAAAACATTGATAAACATGTTCATTTATATTGATGATGCATTATTTAGTTTGCAAATTTTGTTTTTGAATTTAGTCTACTTAGTATTTCCATTTTTTAATTTGTTTGTGTGAATGATTCTCACCATGTGCATTGGTTTTCGTTGTCATTGTCGGGCTCGATAATCTTATTGTTCTGCCTTTTGTAATGGCATTTTGGTTGTCGATGTGTATAGTATTAGACTTTTAGTTTCTTTCCAGCTTGTTGTGCCATAGGATCGGGTATAAAAGTTTATTTTATGGTGTTGTTGCTTACTTCATTTTGTAATTTTCGAAGTTGCAATTCTAATAGTTACTTTGTGTGAGGATGTGAAGGTAAAAAAGTTTCACATTACTGAGAGAACAAAATCTTGTAAGGGTTTATAAGAGTATCTTCAAATGAAGTGTCAAAATATCCACATAAACTATAACAGTAATAAAATATTACACTAATATTCTTCAACCGAAATATCAATTCTTATGTAGAGCTGATGTGGATCGACAGCAGCTTCAAATATTTTTTTATTAATTTTTTTTATGGGAAACGCTGAAACTGAAGCAAACGAAGAAGCCGAAAGACCGAAGCTTGAATTTTGGAAAACCAGAGAGAGAAAAGAGAGAACAAAAGCAGAAAGCTTGCAGGAGGAAGCTTGCAGAGCTTCCATGGCTGAAGGTAGTTCGAATTGGGCGTGAGGGACTTGCGGGAGGGAAGCTTGCAGAGCTTCCATGGCTGAAGGTGTTAGACAAATAAGGAATATGGTTGGAGTCCTTATGTAATTGTATATAATATTATTCACTAGCCGTCCTACAGCCGTCAAGCCGTCCTACAGCCGTCCTACCTTGTCCTACCTACACACTAGCCGTCCTACAGTCGTCAAGTCGTCCTACAACCGTCCTACCTTGTCCTACCTACACACTAGCCGTCCTACAGCCGTCCTACCTTGTCCTACCTACACACTAGGACGGCTACCTTGTCCTACCTACACACTTGTATCATGTATATATATCCTTGTAATCTTGTAGAGAAAGATAATGAGAAAAAAAGCATTCTCTTCCATTTCTTCCACATTCACGTATCAATAACAAATATATTTTTAGCCTACATACCTTTTTCTACATGGTATACAGAGCAGGTTTATAACCCTAGCCCTAATTTTTTTTTTCGGCAGCTTTCTCTGCCGTTCCCATGGCTGACTCTTCTTCTTCCGATGGTGTTTTTTCCCTTCATCATTCTGACCACCCGAATCTTGTCCTTGTATCCAAGAAGTTGAATGGTGATAACTACACATCCTGGGCCCGTGGCATGCAGCTTTCCTTGAGTGCCAAGAATAAACTTGGTTTCATCACTGGCGATATCCAAGAACCTTCTTCCTCCGACAACCCTGATGCTCACGCGGCTTGGCGTCGTTGCAATGACATGATTCTCTCTTGGCTTCTGCATTCCTTGGAACCTGACCTTCAAGAATCTGTGCTTTTTTCCACCTCTGTCCAAGCTGTATGGGATGATCTTCGCGAACGCTTCTCTCAGAGTAATGCTCCACGCATCTTCTAACTTAACCGGGAACTTGCTACAATTTCTCAAGGTTCTTCTTCTATCTCCACCTATTTTACTCGCCTGAAAGCTCTCTGGGATGAGCTTGCTTCTTATAATGATGGCTGCACGTACTCTTGCAACACCAAGCATGACCGTCAACAACTCATGCAATTTTTAATGGGCCTCAACGAATCCTTTGCTGCTGTTCGTGACCAGATTCTTTTAATGAATCCCCTTCCCACTGTTCGTCAGGCCTGTTCCTCGGTGTCTCAAGCTGAAAAACACCGCTCCCTGGGCGTCCTCCGCTTTGTCGATCAACCTGCTGCCATGGCTGTTCGTGGCTCGTCCCGTCCCTCCTCTGCTCGTCATCCCCTCCACTGCACCTACTGCAATTTTGATTATCATACCGGAGACACCTGCCATAAACTTCATGGTTATCCCGTTGGCCATCCCCTCCATGGCCAACCGTGGTGACCACCGCGCCGTGCCACTGCTTC